GAAGGGTCTTTAGATATTTTCACAGCCCTCTTTTTGACTCGTGCAATGTACAGGTCCTCAACGGAAGGCAAGTTGGTAGTAATTGTTTTTTCTGCAGTTCTAAGTTGCCTTATAGCAGTGTTGCTCAACCTTTCCAGGTTTGTGGCCTGGCTTGGGGGTGGGGGTGGGGATGATTTTGTGCAAGGGGCAGGTGCAGAGATGGGTGTGCACAACTTGGTTGCTGTGAGCTCTGGGGCTGCGAGTGCCCAGTACCCACCACTCAAGAGGAGGGCTGTGAGAGCCAGCACCCATTTCTTGTGGGAGTCGGGCTGTGGGCATCAGTGCTTGCAACGAATGTGAGTGGGGCTGCCAGCGCCAGTGCCTGCTGCCAGTGCCTGCTTGCGTGAATCAGGCTGTGTGCCAGCCTGCCACTCACATGGCCCAGTTGTTAGTGGGCCGCGGCCCACGGTTTGGGGATCCCTGCCTTATAGGATGTAGGTTGCATCATGGCAAAGTCAAATTTTCAATTCATTTTTGCTCACCTAGTAGCTGAAGTTGCTCATTGCTTTTCTGTGCAGTGTAATAGGAACAATACGGTTGGCAAAAAATAAATAAAACACGCCACCAGTTGCTTATGCAGTCATACCACAAGGAATATCCGAGACTGTCATGTTTGATTACAAGTGTTATGTTATCCTTTTTTTCCCCCTAGATTCTCGCTAAATTAAAGTTTAATGATGATCCATTTCCTCTGGCAGTTCGAGTGGCCCAGATCCATCCAGATTGAGTGTAGGGAGAACGGGTAGAAGAGTAGCTATTACATAGTCTTAATGCTTTTAAGAACTTGTAATGGTGAAGCTTGCCGTTTTTTTGATGCCGCCAAAAAGAAACAAATGTTCTTGGGTCAGATCATTAAAACAACTCCCCTGTAGTCAGCTTAGCTGTCTATGAGTGTCTCTGAAAACATGTTTGTTTGTTTTTTCTCTCTCTCCCACTGACAGTGGAAGTAGAAAAACAGCATTGCAGGAATTGTTTAAAAATAAAGGGGCGGGGGAATAAGACAGTATCGGTTTGTCTGCTGTATAGTTTGTAGCCCCTGCTAACTATGAGGTAAGGAAAAGGCAGCACTGTATGGAATCCTACTTCCCGTGCAACTGACAAATTATGGTTGCATTTGAGCCCATTTGTTTGCCATAGGCATTAGTAGGAACCATACAGCGCAATTGTGGAGAGCCATTAGGACTTGCTTTGTATGGGAGAAGTGAATTTGACCCACATATCCCCTGTGCACAAGCATATACACACGCACACACTGCTTGTGTTGAATCTGAGGCTTCCCTTCTCTTCCCCGTAATTGAATTACAATTCTGAGATTGCTCTCCCAGATTAAATTGTGTGTGTGTGTGTGTGTGTGTGTGTGTGTGTGTGTGTGTGTGCCATTAATAATTAAGCACTGGGGATTTGTAGAGAAGAATTTACAGCTCCATTGATTCTGGGGATAGATCAGAAAGTCGTATCTGCTTTGTCTGGTATTAAGCGAGGGCAGAATATCTCTGTTAGTTGTTAAGCAGATCCATCTTAATCTTCCCCTTAGTCCTTTTGATGCTGTGTCCGCCCGCTCTGGAGAAACTGGAGGAGATAGAAGTTGAGTTCGGATGTGGCTTTGCATATTTTCTTCAGATCCCAGTTCTTGCATGGGGTTGTTTAAAAATCTGAACACAGGAAGATTATTGAATTAAAGGCTAATGGGAGTTCATCTAGTGATGGGCTACTATATCAAGAGGATGCAGGGTACCACTCTGAATTAATGAGTTAATTTATAGAGTTACTACAGGGAGTCCTCTACTTATGACCACAGTTGAGCCCAACATTTCTGTTGCTAAGTGCCATTGTAATTTTGAACAGTCACTAAAGGAACTTTTATAAATTGAGGGCTACTTGTATATCCAGATGTTTGGGTCACCATGACGTAAAAAAGATGTTGAGACTCAAGAAAGAGCACAGAGAAGATCAACCAAGACGATTAGGGGACTGGAGGCTAAAACATAGGAAGAACAGTTGCAGGAATTGGGTAGGTCTAGTCTGATGAAAAGAAGGACCATGATAGAAGTCTTCCAATATTTGAGGGGCTGCCACAAAGAAGAGGGAGTCAAGCTATTCTCCAAAGCATCTGAAGGCAGGACAAGAAGCAAAGGGTGGAAACTAAACAAGGAGAGAAGCAACCTAGACCTAAGGAAAAATTTCCTTAGACAGCGAGAATAATCAATCAGTGGAACAACTTGCCTCCAGAAGTTATGAATGCCCCAACACTGGAAATTTTTAAGAAGAGACTGGACAGCCATTTGTCTGAAATGGTACAGGGCTTCCTGCTTGAGCAGGGGGTTGAACTAGAAGACCTCTAAGGTCCCTTCCAACTTTAATTGTATTCTAGTCTATAAAACAAGAATTAGGCCTACCCTAAGCTTCCCCCATCTGAATTCTGTACAGAATGGACCAATTTAGGCAGTGTGATTTCAGCCACTTTCCCAGGGTTTGGGATAACTTTTGGATGGGTAAGAGAATGCTGCCAACCTAAAAAAAAACCTGAAGAGTTTGGGCCACTTTAAGTGGCTGAGTTTTACTTACTGATTTGTAAAAACAAGCCACACAGGTATCAGAGAAAAGACATTAATGAATGAAATGTTGTTATCCCAGTCAGCTCCCTAGTTACTCCTGTGAATTAATCTAGCAAAGCAGTGCAGATTATCTCGAAAACCAGCTGCTGGTTGTGAAAATACATGCATCAAAGATTTATCTTCTTGACAGTGAGAAAGGAAAAGTCTGCTGTCTGAACGTTATAACTGAGATGGATTTCTCCCTGCTGCCTGTATCTTTCCAATGGCTCTTCTGAATCTCTGGTGTACACTCTTCAAAGACTCTTCTTTTAATTGGTTCTTGGTTGTTCAAGCAATGTCCCCTGGTATGTCACTCAGGTGGAACATCTATGGCATTGTGGCCTGCCAGTGGCCAGCAGAGCTGGCAGCAGATTCAGACAGTGAGGAGGTTGAGGGGGAAGATGGGCCAGTCCTGGAGTTTGGGGAAGGCTCTGATGAGGGCTCTGCATCGGAGGCAGAGCGGGGTCCAGGGCCATATGCCAGATATCAGCTGCCTTCAGAGTCAGACATCAGTGGGGCAGAAGAACACCTGGAGCCTGTTCCCAGTGTGTGCATGCACAGAGTGGCCAGACAAAGGGAACAGCTAAAAAACAGGGATTGACTTGGGAGAAAGGCCACAGGTGGGCGTTGAATGGCCCCTCCCAGAGGAAATGAAAGAGGAATGAAAGGGGAGTGGAGTGTGCAGGAGACCATCAGTTCGCTTAATTGGTTTGTGACTCTCCGAGGCCTCCTTGCCAAGTTTTGCAGATATTGGCCTGGCAGCTCCCCAAGCCAGATAAGGTCTGTGACTGTAAATCCTCCCTTGAAAGACTTTGCTGGATGTGAATGGCTCATGGGAAGCCTCGGTCAGAACAGGCATCAACTTTGCCGGGGCGCATTAAGGCTCAATCCCATCATACATCTTGGTCTCCTAAGCGATAGTTACACCATCAGGTTAGCGAAAACATGTTTGTGTTCCTCAGCAGAGGCAGGCGTAACCTAATAAACAGAGGTAATGAAACAAAATTGGCATTGTAAACGCAGCCTGGAAATATGCAGATGAAAAAAGAAATAAACCGCCAAGAAGGGAAACTTAATGGATGTTTTGTTTGTGTTCCGTTTATACAAGAGAGGTCTTTGCATGACAATGTATCCTCTTCTAATTTATAGTGGCTGTAACCAAGGCAGAAAGCACGGAAGAAAACGAAGAGCCATTTATCGCCCCTTTGGGATTGAATGTACCTTCCGATGTGGAACTGGTGAGTATGTTTTTAATACAGATCAGTGCCATGGAGTATCTACAGCATCTTCCTTTCTGTAATTTTGAATAATGCAACAAGTAAATCTGCCTCTTCGGAAATTCACCCCGAATTCTGAAAGCACCCCGAATATCTTATCTGGCTATTGTAGTGATGGTGAACCTTTTCAGCACCGAGTGCCCAAACCGAAACATGCATGTCCGTGCATGTGCTGGAGCATGGGAAACCCGAAGACCAGCTGGCCGGTACATGCATTCCTGTGTTTTGACTGTTTCTCAGGCAATTTTTGGGCCGTTTTCAGGCAATTTTTGGGCTGTTTTCAGGCTGTTTTGGGGCCATTTTCAGGCTGTTATTTTTGGGCTTTTTCAGGCTGTTTTTGGGCTGTTTGGGGGGGACATTTTCAGGCTGTTTTGGGGGCATTTTCGGGCCAAAAACGACCTGAAAAAAGCCCCAAACTGGGGTGTTCTTTGGCCATTTTTGGGGCTGTTTTCAGGCCATTTTCCAGTGCTCCGGTGCCTGTGAAGAGCAGCTGGCAATGGCACACGTGCCCACAGAGAAGGCTCTGCATGGCACCTCTGGCACGCATGTCATAGGTTCACCATCACGGGGCTGTTGCATTAATTGAGATTGGCAGATTTAGGCTGTATAGATAGTTCTCGACTTACGAGCACAACTGAGGCCAGCATTTTCTGTTGCTAAGCGAGATATTTGTTACGTGAGTTTTGCCCCCCTTTTAAGACACTCCTTGCCACAGTTGTTAAGTGAATCACTGCCTTATTAAGTTAATCCCACGGTTTTTGAGTCACTCTGGTTTCCCCTTTGATTTTGCTTGTCAGAAGGTCGCAAAATGGGATCTCACAACCCTGGGATACTGCAGCCATCATAAATACGAGTCAGTTGCCAATCGTCTGAATTTTGAATGTGTAACCATGGGGATGGTGCAATGGTCAGAAGTGTGAAAAATGGTCAGAAGTCCCCCTTTTCAGTGCTGTTGTAACTTGAAATGATCACTACAAGAACTGTTGTAAGTCAAGGTAACCCTATTATAGTTACCTGGGAGTAAACCAAGAGTAAATCTCTTCTAGGCAGAGATTCCAGAGTGAGCTTCTCAACATTTAGCACTGTGTTGGATACTATTGATATTGTAAAAGAATAGTTGGTCTACTCCAAACAATTGCAATAATAATGCTTTGGTGAAGGAAAAAAAAATCCCGCCATATTTTAGTTGTCTGAAGTTTCTCGGTAAGATTTACAGCCCTGGAATTATTTTCCCCGTCTGGCTCTTCCTCCTTGAATCATTCTGTTGTAACTCATATTTTATTATCTAAATCACCTATAGTTTCTCCTGATTTTGGAGAGGTAGCACAACATTTGCCTAGTTATTGCATTTTAGCTGTGTTGTTCTAGCAGCTTTCCAATCCACCATCTGCGGAATAATTTAGAAAGAAATAAAAGATGTATTTGCATAGGACGTGATCCCTTTTACGATTATAAAACCATATCAAATACAGATAGCGGTCTTCCTCCTGTGACTTAGCATTTTGCAATTTCAGGCCCTGTGCGAACATGAAAGTCCTTTGATACGGGCAAAGCAACTCGGTAGTTTGAAATTCTGAAAGAAGGTTAAATTCTACGAGGAGGGCACAGAACTCCTTAGATCTCAAAAATTCTTTTAGATGTCCAGGGGAGGGGGGTGGGAACCTTCTGTAGCCCTTCTCTGTGATGTTTTTTTTTTTCCTGGTGTGTGGATTTCATTTCCTTACTATTGCAACACACCCATGTTTATAGAGATTCTTTTTTTAAAAAAAACTTCTTTATTAACAAATCATAGTTATCTACCCAAGATGACCTATATGTAAACTTCTAATAACATCAGAATTGTTTGCTGTGATGGCACAGTGGTTAGAATGCAGTGTTGCAGGCTAACTGCCAACTGCCAGCAGTTCAATCCTGATCAGCTCGAGGTTGACTCATCCTTCCATCCTTCCAAGGTGGGTAAAATGAGGACCCGGATTATTGGGGACAAGAAACTGATTCTGTCAACCGCTTAGAGAGGGCTTTGAATACCACTGTGAAGCGTTATATAAATCTAAAGGCTATTGTCCGTCCTTCCTTCCCTCCCTCCTGTCAGGGTTCCAAGTAATAAATCCATTGCAAGAAAAAAACTCCGAAGCAAGTAGATTCCTCAAAGAATAGCTTTCATTGGAAATGTCATATTGACACATATCTGGTGAAAACCGACTCTGAAGGGTCCCTTAGTTTTCACCTAATTAAAAGAGAAACCCCCCCCCCAATCCCAAATAATCAGTCACATGGCCCAATCAAAGCAGCAACCGCTGGTCTGGTGACATCACTCCTTCCTCCGGCCAGGTGTGAGAATGTCCTTGGTTCCTAAGAGAATGTATTTTGACTACATAACCCCAGCTATCTCTAATCCCCCCTCCCTATCCCTCAGCTCTAGTGTGGCAGCACTAAAGCTCCAAGATAACTTCGGCCAGACCAGCTTCANCCCCCCCCCCTCCTTTCTTCTATGTTTTGAGTAGACATACACGCTTGTCTCCACAGGGGAATTTAAAAAATATATATAAACCAAGATCATCCCTCCCCCCAAAAAAGAAGACAAAAGAAAGCTTCATATATTTTTTTGTGTATGGGCGGAAATATCAATGTTCATACATGACCCTCTCGGGTCAGTTTGCTGTAACGTTTGCGTGTGAATGTTAGAGCGAATTACGTGTTCTTTTTAAAAGAAAAAAGAAAGTTAGCTGTATTCAAATAATTCCACCCTTTTCTAATTGCCTGTTGCTTTTTTCTTCAAGAGGAAGAATATAAGAGGCTGAGCGAAGCTTTGGCCGAAGATGGGTCCTATAATGCAGTGGGATTTACTTACAGTAGTGATTATTACGATCCCTCAGAACCCACTGAGGAAGAAGAGCAGCCGTTCAAGGCCAAAGGTAAGGAAACTTCTGTGGGGAAAATCGCTTTCTTTATATCTCTTGGGGAAAAAATCATATTGGGGTGGGCTGGGATTTTGTAGTTCTGTTGATGAAAGGCATTGAATTCCTCAGTTTGGGGACCCCTGCACATGAAATAAATGTCTCTTCAGCTTTCATGCCTAAGGAGGGACTAGAACTCACTGTCTCCTGGCGATTGGCCCAAAGTCACCCAGTCAGCTTTCATGGCTAAGACAGGTCTAGAACTCACTGTCTCCTGGTGATTGGCCCAAAGTCACCCAGCCACTTTTCATGCCTAAAGTGGAACTACAACGTGATTTCCAGGTTTCTGATTTAGTGCCTTAAACTACTATGCCAGTGTTTCTCAACCTTGGCAACTTGAAGATGTCCAGACTTCAATTCCCAGAATTCCCCAGCCAGCATTCGCTTCAAGTTGCCAAGGTTGAGAAGCACTGTACTAGACCAAACTGGCTTTCAAGTATAAAATGTAGTAGCTTTTAGAGGCTGAAAGAGTTTTTTTATATTTAAGTCGCTTGCAACTGGCATGGAAGTGAGTAATACAAACAAGCGTATTAGCTTACTCGATCCTTTTAAAACCAACAAAAAAAGTGAAACCTCCCTCATTGTCATCAGTTCTTTTTCTTGAAATAGTCTTACTCATTGCTTCAAAACTTTCTTGTTTGAGACATTAGAATAGAATAGAATAGAATAAAATGGAAGAGAGAGGGAAGAAAGGATAGGAGAGAATAGAATAGAATTCTTTATTGGCCAAGTGTGATTGGACACACAAGGAATTTGTCTTTGGTGCAGATGCTCTCAGTGAACATAAAAGTTATATTCATCAAGAATCATAAGGTATAACACTTAATCATAGTCACATGGCACAAATAAGCAATCAAATCATACTAGGAAACAATTTAAATCGTAAGGATGCAAGCAACAAAGTTACAGTCTGGCAGTCATAAGTGGGAAGAGATGGGTGATAGGAACGATGAGAAGATTAATAGTAATAGTAATGCAGACTTAGTAAATAGTTTGACAGTGTTGAGGGAATTTTTTGTTTAGCAGAGTGATGGCATTAAAACTCTCCTTGTGTCTAGTTGTTCTGGTGTGCAGTGCCATATAGCGTCGTTTTGAGGGTAGGAGTTGAAACAATTTATGTCCAGGTTGCGAAGGGTCTTTAGATATTTTCACAGCCCTCTTTTTGACTCGTGCAATGTACAGGTCCTCAACGGAAGGCAAACTATTTACTAAGTCTG